GGGTGCTACCGAGGGTGGCACGAGGAGGGTGACAGCGTCCCTCACCCCTTCCCCTCCTGCTGCCGCCAGTGCTTCCAAGCCAGGAGGGTCTGCCTGTCCTCCCACCATCTCCGCCTGTCCTCCTGCCCAGTCCCACCCCACGGCCAAAAGACACCCCATTTTGGGGGGTTTCATTTTCCGAGGCAGGGGTTGTGGAAGACGTTTGCCCCGCTGTCACATTAAAGCCAACGTGAATTGGTGCTGCTGCCGAAGGCAATCCCTGCTCCCACCTCAACGCACCCCTTCCCCGTGGCTTAATTAAACCAGAAAATTCTTTATTGCCTTACAAAAGAAAAAAAAAAAAAAAAGAGAAGAGAGGTTCATTTCAAAGCTGGCTGGGATTAATTTAGGAAATGCACAAGGGTTTACACCAGTTTAAACGTTTAGAGACTATTTAAGCTTACGCAATTTGCAGCAGAGACAAGGCCCAAGATTAATTTCTAGGGCAGGGAATTACAGTGCATGGAGAACCGCTCCCTCCTCCCGTCCCCAACCACCACATCTCTCCAGATGCTGCAGAGAGCTACGGCAGCCCCGGGCCGGGTCCGGCACCGTCACCGTTCGCTCCTCCGCAGACGGCCGAGGCAGAGCTGAGCTCCCCCCGGGGCACCGGGAAGGCAATTTAGCCTGATTAGCGACAGAGACTTCCCACCCGGCTCTGTCCCAGTGGAATCGGCGCAGAAAAGCTGCGCTGGAGCTGGGCAGAACGAGCACCCCGAGTCAAAGCGGGGCTGCAGCCGCAGGGAAGGAGACTCCCACGGCAAGGCCGGTGCGCTGAAGCCCCTCGCCCGCTCCCACCCATGCTCCTGTACTCACGTCTTATCCGTGACTCCATCATGCTCCGTGTTTTCAGCTTCCCCACCAGCAGAAAGCAGTCGGCAGCTTCTTCTGTCTCAAACCCGGGGATCCCTGAGGAACCTATTTTTACACGCTGCCTTTACTACTGTTTGCGGTGCCGGTCCGGGTCAGAAAGCCAACGCTGGGCGCAGCGAGGTGGAGGAGATGCTCTACAGCGGCTGTGGGGAGGGCGAAACACCAGTTCCTCGCAGGCAGGGGATCACCTGCCCGAGCTCCGCGTCCGAGAGGCCGGCAGGCAGCAGGCGCTGAGCTTCCATCGGTCCCCAGCACCGTCCCTATACAGGTCGGAGCCGGAGGGAACGCATCCCGGCTTCAACGCCCCTCCGCGTCTTCCTTCGTGACCTGCAAACGGGAGAGCGTTTTACATCAGCAAAACGGACTTCGAAAGCTACACCATCCAATGCTACCTCCCCTCGCGTTA